CCTCGTTCTCAGCACTCCTGAGAGCTCCTCCTGAGTGTCAGTTACTCAGTTTACATCCTTTTCAAAGCACTGCCTTGGAATAAACTGCCACCTGTTAACTGTGTGAATTTTACAGCGGCAGCACAGAGCAGAAACCCCGATGTCCTGGGTGAACACCTGCTCTTCACCAGCCACTGTCTGAAACACTAGAATGATGCAGGACAGACAGAGCTGAGAGGTGGCAGGGAAGCAAGAGGCCGTTTGCTTTGATTGACCTCTGAGCACGTGTCTCTCCTGATATTCATTTTCTTTCAACTATGAACTACAGCAGATGATGATTAGATGAACAGTTTCCGGGAATACCATGATGTTTTCTTTAATAAGTCCTAAAAACTACGCACGTCATCTTCTGAAGCACAGCGAGTGCTGGTATTAAAGGCACCGTTGACTCATTCCAAGGTTTCTATGTCCGGATCTGGAGCAGAGGCTCAGCTCTGTGCCCACACCCTGGGGTCTTTCACTGCCGGCTCACCCAGTTTCACTCCCACTTGTAGATCTTCACCATCTTCTCGGTCAGCGAGGCCAGGAAGCTGCTCTGGTTCACCTCGAAGGGGCAGACATCCAGCACGGGCTGATCAGCCTGTAGCTTCTGCAGCAGCGCCCCACTGCTAGCGTCCCAGAGCTGCAGAGAACAGGAAGCAGAAATCAGGACTCCTCACTCCCCATCACAGTGTGCAACAGGAACACAATCACTTATTACAAACATGGAAGACTGCAGTCAACTCCCAAACCTACAATCCATAGAAAAAAGAAGTATGAAATCTTTTTCTCTTAATGCTGAAAATCTCTGCCACTGTTTCTGTAAACCCCACCCCCCGGCGGCCTCCCGTGTCCCAGGGTGTGGCGAGTGTGCCACACAGCGCCACCCCAGGCCCCTGGCCTCTCACCATGGCGGAGCTGGAGGCTTCGTCCCCAGCGCACACCAGCACGGAGCCGTCCCGCGCGGGGCTCTCCAACACGGCGTTCTTGGTGAGCAGCTTGCAGGAGGAGCCGGCGCTGAAGGTCTGGACCGGGTGGCAGGTGCAGGAGGGCTCCTGGGTGGAGTCCTGCTGGGGGGCCCTGCTCAGCTCCATCAGCACACAGCGCAGGGAGGGGTTCACCTTGCCTGCGGAGGGAGGAAGGGACAGCTCAGCCAGGCCTCCACTCGCTGACCGCTGAATGACCCGTCGAACTGGAATGTTTCAAATGATTTTACAGTACGCTTTCGTCTAGCAGGGAAAATAGTTTATCACAGATTCTCATCTGTACCTTTAAAGTGTAAGGGATCTGTTAAACCTTCAAGTACCTTCATATTTTAGCATCACTAGAAAGAAAAGAGTACGGAAGCATTCAATTTTTAGATCACTCTTTTGGATGAAATGTTGCTTATAAGGCTGGCATTAATCTCTCAGCACGTCTCCGTGCTCTCCAGCCCAGGAGCCAAGAGAACAGATTCTGCAGAAATGTGCAACGTCCCTGTTTGGTGTTTTCTTAACAAGACCCTGGAATACAGCGAGAGGTCGTATTCTCTTTCACAATGAACTCATATGCAAATGATCCTATAACATAAATCCGACACATGAAAAAATCAAAAACGAAATTTAATCCAGTGCCTACCCATGGCACGGAGCCCGAGCTCACCTGGCCTGTACGTCACCAGGCAGTGCCTGCTGCGGGGCTCCACCTGGATGTCAGTGCAGCCCCCCGTCTCCAGCGGCAGGACGTGGGGTCGGTAGGACGTCCCCTCCAGGTGCTCCCAAAAGCAGCCCCCCTCCAAGGTCCCGGCGATCAGGCCGCCGCAGGGGAAGGCAGCTGAGGCAGCTCGGGGAATGTAGGACAGGGAAGCCACCGGACACCTGGGGGAACAGGTCACACCGCTCCTACTCTTCATACATTACAGTCACAAGGGGAATGACCTCACCCAAACACCATCGTTAACACACTGGACTTTCCTCATCTGATGCATTTATAAAGACAATGCGTTTTACACTACAAACAGAATTAACTTTGATATTCTAATGCCAAAAACCCACCTCAGGGATCCAGGTCTGTGCTTGCAAAATCTAAGAGTGCGCAGAACACTACTAGCCTACTGAACAGCAGCTATACAAACTCCATCAAGTCTGCTTCCAACATGTAAGCACATTTGCCAGAGATGAACACAAGGAGCTGCCCAGCTATGGGAGTGCTATAGAGTGAGATTGTTCCTTTAATGTACAATAAGATTATGACATAACCATTCATCCATTTTCTCAAGGTTTCGTCCAATTCAGCGTCACAGGGCAGGCGGAGCCAATCTCGGCAAACAACGGGCTATAGGCAGGGCACACTCTGGGTGGGACACCTGCCCATCACAGGGCACAAACACACACACTCACACCAGAGCCAATTTTCCTAGAAGCCAGTGTGTCCTTGGACTATCGGAGGAAACTGGAGCACCCAGAGGAAACCCACACCAACACAGGGAGAGGAAACTCCACAGATATCACCCCCAGGTCAGGAATTGAACCAAACCTTGCGTCACGATTCTGGTGAACTGACTGCTCCCTCACCTGGATCCCAGCGGACTGAGCTCCTGGACGTGTGTGCTGGTGTCCCGGGTGTCGTACACCAAGACAGAGCCATTGCTCAGGCCGGCGTAGATGTAGTTCACATTGTCCAGGCACCAGCAGCAGCTCCACACAGGCCGGCCTGTGTTGTACGTCTGTACAACTGTGTTGGTCAACAGGCTGAGGGAGACAAAGTGAGATACAAATAAATGGGAATTGTTACAAAAGAGAGGAGGCCACATGGCCCATCTAGCACATTGGGTGATCCATGGATCCCATCCAGCCATCTCCTGAAGGAAGCCAGGTTATCAGCTTCAACGACTTGGCTGGAGAGTCTTGTTCAAGTCAACCACAACCCATCATGTGAAAGAAGGTGTCTTCTATATTAAAAGCACTTGTGTCCTCAGACTTGTTTCACTGTTGACTCTGAAGATATCCACTGTTTTAGAT